CAAAATTTTCACGCATCCTTAGTTACGATCCGGTGTGCCGTTGATCAAAAACTGTGGGAGGAAATCCTGAGATAGCAAAAGCTTTCTACGTGTGCTGAAGGGTGTGCGGAAGCTGCACGCGAACGTAACGATGTTTACGAAAGCGAGTAAATGTGTTGTCGGATTGAACCGTTGAGGAAGAAATGATCAATCCCGTGACATTTTGTTTTTATCTTGCGTTACAGGATTGCTTCTGCCGACTTATCGATGATGATGGTTTCATACTTGCGACAAATCAACCAGACGATACAGAGGTATAAACTGATACTCTTACCGTTGTCACGAAGCACTTCTTAAGATTGCGTGACGGACCAAATGAAAACTTTACAACTAAGGGTCTGGATAAGTCATTTCAATTCTTGTTTTTCTCAATTATCTTGTGTAACAGGTTGGTAAGTTCTTTGGCTTGTGGGAAGGAGCAGTGCTGAAAGAATTCCTGAACAAGAGCCTCTTTGATGAGTGAGTTGCCCCTCTCCGGTTAATATGTCGAACTTCAATCATCTTTGACTGGGATCATTCAACTCCAAGGCCCCGTCCACACTACTCCGAAGGAATTTGATAACGCAGCTTTATTTTTACGGTTAATCTACCGTTCACACCAATCCGTCACGAAAACGGAGCTTTTCGAAAACGTTCTTCAAGCCGGAGGAATTTGAAAACACGGGCTTTGCGTTTTCGTGTGGACGGAGAACATTTTGAAAACGAAGCTTTTCGAAAACGATGACATCACGATATCAGTGAGATATTCCTGGCCGAGTTTTTCTCAAGCACAGATCCAAAATGACCTGTCATAGTTCCGTTTTCAAATCTCTCCGGAGTAGCGTGGACGGAAAAAATTCCAGGCGTTTTCAGAGTGAAAGCGCCGTTTTCAAATTCCTCCAACGTATAGTGGACAGGCCCTATTCTCCGACTAACTTTTAGTTGAAGATCTATCGATCCCACAAGCAGGAAGGCGGGCAGATCTTATTGAAAACCGTGAAATCGTTAAA